AAAGGACCGGGGCAAGGTCAGGCGGCCTCATGATGACCCCATCGTCATCGAATGCAAGGTTGCCAACCAGAAGGTTGGCCGAATCCTAATAGACACCCGGAGCTCGTCTGACCTAATCAGTTATCAGTGCTTGACCAAGCTCAAGTACACATCCGGTAACATGCACCAGGCTCCTCACCCACTAGTCGGTTTTGGGGGTGGAGTAGTGCATCCGGTCGGAAGCATAGATCTTCCGAGTCGGCTGGGTGAAAAGGGGCAAGGACGCCACATGATAGTCAAGTTTTTAGTTGTGGAGGAGCTGTCCGCCTACAACATGATATTTGGCCGTCCTACCCTCAACGCATCTAAGGCTGTCATCATCCCGTCCCTCATGTTGGTCAAATTTCAAAAGGATGATGGTACAGTCGGTGCCCTAAGCGGGGACCAGAAGACGGCAAGAGAGTGCTATCTCTCTGACGTCAAGACAACTATGGGTGCAGCCGGCCAGGGCGAGCCCATAGATATTGATAACTGCAACCCAGCAGACCCGGCTCCAAGGGCAGCCGGTATGAAAAGAAAGGCGGACCAACTGGCACCCGTCAAAAAGGAGAAATAGCAATCACTAGCCGGGGAAAGGTCAGATGACCAACGACCTCAGCCGGCTGGTGACTGCCTTGATGTCATCCTAGATGACAGCCGTCCTGAAAGAACAGTCAAGGTCGGGACGGTAGCCTTCGAACGGTTGGGAGAAGGCTTGCTCCAGGTACTGAAGGAATTCAAAGACATCTTTGCCTTTGAAGTGGAAGAGATGCCAGGCGTCAGCCCGGATCTTGCTGTCCACAAGCTAGCCGTAGATCCCAAAAAGCAGCCGGTTAGGCAGAAAAAGAGGGATCATGGTGGAGAAAGATCTCAAGCGGCAGCGGCTGAGGTCAAAAAGCTGTTGGATGCTGGGTTCATTAGGCAATGCTACTACCCGGATTGGGTGGCAAATGTTGTTCTAGTAAAGAAGCCGAACGGTACTTGGCGGATGTGTGTGGATTACACAGATCTGAACAAAGCATGCCCAAAAGATAGCTACCCGCTTCCAAAGATTGACAGCCTAGTCGACTCAACAGCCGACCATGCGTTAATGAGCTTTATGGATGCTTATTCCGGCTTCCATCAAAAACCTCTCTGGAAGAAAGATCAGGAGAAGACGGCTTTTGTCACTGATCAGGGGTTATTCTGCTATACGGTGATGTCGTTTGGGTTGAAGAATGCACCGGCTACATTCCAGCGCATGATAAACACCGTTTTTATCAACCAGATTGGCAGGATTGTAGAGGCGTATATCGATGACATGATAGTCAAATCCAAGCTACAGACGGATCACCTAGCAGACCTGCGAGAAACCTTCACCACACTCAGGCGGCACCGGGTCATGCTTAACCCAAAGAAATGCGTATTTGGTGTTGAGTCTGGGAAGTTTCTCGGATTCTTGATTGACCAAAGAGGCATCAAAGCTAATCCGGAAAAAATACAGGCGGTAATTGACATGAAGTCTCCCCGCACTGTAAAAGAGGTCCAGAAGTTGACCGGTTGTCTGGCGGCATTGGGGAGGTTCCTCAGCCGGTCAGGTGACAAGTGCCTCTATTTCTTCCAGGCAATCAGGAAGAGGTCAAGGTTTGAATGGGGTGAAGAAGCAGAGGCTTAAGCAGCACTTGCATTCTTTGCCAAGGCTAGTGAGCCCCCTACCCCGGGAGGTTCTGTACATGTACCTAGCCGTCTCTGATCACGCCCTTAGTGCCGTTCTCCTCGCTGAGAGAGACGGCATTCAGCTGACGGTGTACTTCATCAGCCATGTCTTTAAAAATGCTGAGCTCCGGTACCCCATGATCGAAAAATTTGGGTTGGCCTTATTCGTAGCAGTCAAGCGGTTGAAGCCTTATTTTTTCGCACATCCGGTTGTGGTATACACAGATCAGCCGCTCAAGCGTACGATGACTGCTATAGAGTCATCCGGTAGAATGATCAAGTGGGCTGTTGAAATACAAGGCCTTGAGATAACTTTTGAACCCAGGCGGGCAGTGAAAGGTCAAGCGTTTGCCGACTTTATTGTCGAGATGACTAGGCCGGTGCACCCGGAAAACCCTGATCAGGTCTGGAAGTTATTTGTAGATGGCAGCTCTACGGTGAACGGCTGTGGTGCAGGTGTTATCTGTCATTCCCCGGAAGGGGATAAGTTTGAATATGCACTACGGTTTAAGTTCCAAGCCTCCAACAATGAGGCAGAGTATGAAGCCCTGCTAGCCGGATTGCGCATGTGTAAGGCAGCCGGTGCAAGAAAGGTCGACGCCTGCTCAGATTCACAGTTGATCGTTAGCCAATACCTTGGTGACTACGAAGCCACCCATCAGGCTATGATCAAATATTTGCAGGCGGTCAAAGAGGAGGCTGGGTCCTTCGATGAATTTCATCTGCGACAGGTGCCCCGGTCTGAAAACAATCAGGCGGATGCCCTCTCAAAGTTGGCATCATCAGCCTCCGGTGATGCTCCTAGGACGGTCTTTTGGGAAGTCATTGAAAAACGAAGTATTCAGAATGATCCCATTGGAGTCTTGGACAGAACTGCTACCTGGATGGATCTCATCCGGTCCTTTTTGACGGATGGTACCTTGCCGGATGACCCTTCAGAAGCATCAGCGCTCAAGAAGCGTGCTTCAAGTTTTGTTATGCATCAAGGGGAACTCCTCCGGAAGGGATACCTGCAGCCGTTTTTGAAATGTGTAACCCCGGATAGGGGGAGAGAAGTTTTGGAAGATCTGCACGCGGGGTTTTGTGCCTCGCATATTGGCGGCAGGTCCCTGGCCAAAAGAACCAGACGGCAAGGGTACTTCTGGCCCACTCTTGAAGCGGATGCCATGGATCTAGTAAAGAGATGCGACAAGTGCCAAAAATTCGCTAAGTTGATACATCAACCGGCAACAGAACTCACGGCAATCCATAGTCCGGTTCCGTTTGCTAAATGGGGCATGGACATTTTGGGACCTTATACGCCTGCATCAGGCGGCCGCCGCTACATTCTTGTAGCAGTAGACTACTTCACCAAATGGGTTGAGGCAGAGGCGGTAAAAGGGATTAAAACGAAAGACGTGATTTCTTTCATCTGGAGAAACGTCATCACCCGGTTCGGGGTTCCAATGTCCATGGTTTTCGACAACGGACCGCAGTTCGAAACGCCTGTCCTGAAGACCTGGTTGGGAGACCAAGGAATTTCCCATTATTTTGCATCCGTTGGCCGTCCTCAGGCAAACGGTCAAGTTGAGGCTTTTAACAAGTTGATCTCAGACGGGATAAAGAAGAAAGTAGAAAGAGCCGGTGGACTATGGGCAGAGGAATTACCTCATGTCCTTTGGGCTATCCGGACAACCGAAAAGGGGGCAACCGGTGAGACCCCATTTCTCATGACATACGGCACTGAAGCAGTTCTTCCCATTGAACATTATGAGCCTACTCTACGCATTATGTTATATGATGAGGAGGCTAACTGGGAAGCCATGCGGTTGGCATTAGACGCTCTTCCAGAGCGAAGGGGGAATGCTGCCTTGCGTCATGAGATCTACCGTCTGCGTATGACTAGAGCCTACAACAAGCGGGTTCGTAAAAGACCTTTGAAAGAAGGAGATTTTGTGCTTCGCAAAATGGAGGCAACCGGTAGGGCCAATGAACAAGGCAAATTAACCCCAAATTGGGAGGGACCCTACCGGATCTTTGAAGAAGTACGAGACGGCACTTACCGCCTGGAAACTCCAGACGGAAGAAAGTTGCCTAGAACTTGGAATGTAGATAACCTCAAAAAATACTACTTCTAAGTATTGTACATCTTTTGAAAATTTTCAAATGATTAATGAGAATTACATTCAATTTTGTATACAACCACCATGTCTTGTGCCTACCACAAGCGGCACCAGTAACTAATTTTTTCATCCGGTGACACCCATACGGGTGAATTCATCGAAGAGAACATCTCCCATTTGGGTGGTAAATTGTTCTAAGCGATCACACAGGCGGACAAATCCGCCTGACGATCCTTCGCACCAAAAAAGGGCAGGCTAGCAACCCCAAACTTGCAGCCGGCTCACTTTTTGGAAGGACAGCCGGTACTCAATACCGCCGCCTGACTCTCTAAGAGCAGGCCTAAAAACATTTGGTCTAGGCCATAATTCATTCACCGGTGAATGGACATCCTAATCTGGCGTGATTCTTTTGCGAAGTCCCGACCGGTAATTCAGTATAAACCGACTGGCTCCCGAATCTAATGTTTGCACTTAGTGTATATTCGAGCTATATCATATGGATAGTCGCCTGGCTTGCAAAGACCCAGACCGCTATCCAGGGGCAATTACCCAGACGCCATCCGGTTTGGTTTTGGGTCGAAATTTCTTCGCCTAGTTTGCGAAGACCCAGACGGCAGTGTTACCGGTGGGGTCTTCTTGGCAACCCTTGCAAATTTCTTCGCCTAGTTTGCGAAGACCCAGACAGCAGTGTTACCGGTGGGGTCTTCTTGGCAACCCTAGTAAATTTCTTCGCCTAGTTTGCGAAGACCCAGACGGCAGTGTTACCGGTGGGGTCTTCTTGGCAACCCTAGTAAATTTCTTCGCCTAGTTTGCGAAGACCCAGACGGCAGTGTTCCCGGTGGGGTCTTCTTGGCAACCCTAGTAAATTTCTTCGCCTAGTTTGCGAAGACCCAGACGGCAGTGTTACCGGTGGGGTCTTCTTGGCAACCCTTGCAAATTTCTTTGCTGTTTGCGAAGACCCAAGCGGTAGTGTTACCGGCGGGGTTCTTTTGGTTATCCTCGCAGAAATATGTATAAAAAAATAACAAGAATTCTAGTATTGAAGTGCAGAAACATAAAAAGCATTCAAAAGCCGGCTCAGCCGGTGAAAATGTTAATATTCAAAATAAAAATTATTACAGCTTAGCCCATCTCATACGGTGCTATTACAAGATAATGCAAGGCGCGCAGGCCGGGAAGTAGTTGCTACTCCAGGCGAACAGTGAACCGGTCCTCTTCCGGTTGGTTCTGTGTTGGATCAGGGCGAGCGGTTGCGTCGGCTTCAGGAACAACTTCTTCCTCTTTAGCAGCCTCCGCCTGCCGTCGCGCAATCTCCTCCCTTACCCAAGCGTCATAGGATCCGGGCCCCGGCTTATTCGCCTCCTCGGCCAGAATGGCAAGATTAGAATATTTGAAGGCGAGTTCCCAGACGGTGAAGTCCGCCTCCGGGTGGATGAAGGAAAACGCCCGTTGCATCCGGTTTGCACAGTCATGCTCATTCTCTTCAATGAGCCTCTCCTGCTCCGACTCCAAGGTGGCCTTGAAGTTCTCATTGGCAGCAGCCGCCTCTTTGCGCAGGCGCTCATTCTCTTTGGCAAGGCGGCCATTTTCAGTCTCCGCCTTGCTCAGCCGTTGGAGGGGCTCGTTTTGTTCCTCCAACTTTTTATTGGCATCATCCAGGGACGCCTGCAGTTGGTCAACTTGGTTTTTCAGCTGATCAATCTGCTGTTGGAGGGCCTTGGTCTTCTCCGCCTGTTCCATGCGTATAGATTTAGATTCTAAGCCATGCATGTACAAAGAGTAGTCAGCAACATTATGGGCGTCATCAACAGCCCGTTTGCTTCTCCATAGCCTGCAAAAATACAGCCGGTTAATGCTGCATATTTAAAAATGCACGTCAAGAAAATTACCGCAAGGTTGTTGGAGCATACTTCGGCCAGGTCGACCATCACCCGGTCGGCATTAAAGGAGTTGATCCCAGGGATCGCCTCCTTCTCGTCCCTGGGGACGGCTTTCAGCATGGCCCGGGCATATTGTGCCCCGTCCGGCCAGCGGGGAGAATTATCTGCACCAGAAACAGACGGTGAGAAACTCGCATATGCTCTGCCTATAGATTGCCGGCTGATTGGAGAATCCCCCGGCTGCGATCGAGACTGTGAATAAGACTTGACCCGCATGGGCAGGTCAAGCAGTGTAAGGTCGAAGTTACCTTGGCGGCCCGAACGACCATCAGAGGGACCGGTTGCGGTCCTCAATGGGATGGCAGAAAGCACATCTGCAGATCCAGGCCCGCTTGGGACCTTTATTGATTTGCCGCCAGTAGTTTGCCGGTCGGCTGTCTTCTGCACCTTGGATGCAGACTCTTGTTGGGTCGGCGGAGGCCTGACCTGTTTTTGAAGGGACCGGGGCATCTGCTTCCCGTCCTGTAAACGAGAAAAATATAAGTTATGGGATAAAAGGATTAAAATAAACGAGAAGGATCAGACGGTTATACCTTCCTCGCCGCCTGGGCAGCAAGTTTTTTCTCGAGATTGGCTTTCCGGATGTCGGCAGCCGACCTAGCCGGTGTCTTCTCGGTGGGCAGCATTTTCTTGGCTTCTTCTGCAGAGGAAGGCACACGGTTAGAATAATAAATAAGCAAGGAAATAAAAGCATCCGGTTCGAAAGAAACCGGCTGAGTTCCGAATACATACGTTTTTTAAACATGCTGCTTAGACCACAAGCGGACAAGAAGCATTCGTCCCTAAAAAATTCATGTTTGGGCACCCAGTTTCTAGGTACCCTTACTATCTCTCCGGATGAGAGGGTGTCAGGAACTAACTCAAAAAACCAGGAGTCAAGGATGGTCTCTCTATCATCCTTCGGGACAGGGGGCAGGCAGCACTTGGTCCCCAAGAGTTCTGGTTTCCGGTTGTAGATCCGGAATTCTCTGTTCTCTGTCGTAGTTGGGGCCTTAACAAAGTAGACCCGGTGCTTCCAGTCCGACCATTTGGATGGCTTGTCCAAGGTCATAAGGTATTTGGGCTGGGTGGTCAAGGTATACCAGGCTCTCCAGCCGCCTGGGCTCCTACTCAAGTAATGCATGTGGGCAAACGCCTCCCAGCCGGGGTTGAGGCCCTGCATCTCGCAGGCGGCGATATACCCTAAAATATTTACCCATGAGTTGGGGGTTAATTGCCAGAGACCTAGGCCATACCCCCTAAGTATGGCTTTTATTGTGTCGTGGAGAGGGAAGCGGACTCCGGCCACGAAGGCCGCCTCGTAGCACCTGAACCAAGCGTTCGCGTTCGGTTGTCCATCCTCCCACCATATTGTTCCCATAGCAGCCGGGATTTTTATTGTATAGTCACCCCCCAGCGGCCGCCGTTTGATAAAATCTGGCAGCGCAGCCCGCATGAGCTCGCGGTCCTTAGAGGAGACGGCGATCATGAGAGGATCGTTCCTATTATCCCAAGAAGGCCTCTCCGCCTCCTCGCTATCCTCAGATTCGGTTAAGTAGCTGCTACTGCTACTTTGAACGTGACCGGCATCAGAGCCGGCTGGGGAGTTGGAGACCTCCTTATCAGAGCCTACCTGCTCTCTGGTCTCCTGGAGGGGAGCAGTCTCTTCGTTTAAAATGCTATTACCCGGGGTGCTAGGAGCGCCCCCGGGTGAGCCTCTCTGCTCTACCTCTCCTTGCTCTACTTCACCGCCTGAAGCTGGGACCTCAGGCAGCTGCTCATCTGAGCTCCCACTTCTGTAGTTGGGATCTCTGGCAGTAGACCGGATTCTGGCCATTTTGTCCTGCGCAGACACAGAGTCGGTCGATATGGGTGTTGAAAAAGGGTTGTCCCAAAGAACAGAGGCGGCAGACCCAGTTCTAGACTCAGCCGTACTAATAAACCGGCTGAGTTCACAACTAGGTTCCGGGTATGGGTATAAGGGGTCCATCTACTTATGGGACCAATGAACAAAAATGCGAGTAAAAGAATCAAACAGAAATACATGAAAAAGCTTGAAAGAATAGAGACGGTACCTAGAAGAAAATCTGGAAATTCTTTGGGATGCTTGCGAAGACGCAGGCGGTTCAAAATCCGGCTGGGTTTCTCTGATTACCCTCTCGAAATCCTTTGGCTAGCTTGCACCGACCCAGACGGTCTGTAGACCGGTTTCTCTCAACGAATCTCAACTCCGAATGCTCTCAACTCTCAAATTGCCGGCTGTTCTCAAATTTTCAGAAATTTGGCAAAGTTTGTAAATGAGAGCTCGAGGACATCTTCTCCTATTTATAGAATTTGTCCCAGAAGGAGAAAAGTCGTGACTCTTCGCCTTCTGCTTTTCCATCCTTCAAAAAGAATCTGAAGAGTAGAAAAAAAAAAAAAAAACCTTTCACCGGCGCCACGTGGCACCCTGCCACGTCAGCACCAGTGAGGGGCAAATGTTTGGGGTAAAAATACCCTAAACATGTGGCCCAATGGCCTAGGGACACGTGGCATCCAGCCGTTGGTCAGCAGGGCTCCAATCCCTTGCTGACACGTGTCCTCTAAACCCGAAAAGGGAAACCATCCCTTCCCCACTATAAATAGTGGAAGGACCCTCATTAATGGGGGGCTGGAACATTTGTTGTTCACATTGAATACTCCTCAAAAAGAAAAACACTTACCCCGAGCAATATTAATTGCAGAATTCTCCCATTACGCGAGAAGTAACTTCTACATTACGTGCATTCTACCTCCCGTATCTTTACTAACTTGATCGTCGGAGGCGGAGCTCCTACCCCCAGGAGTCTTCGTGATTTTGCAGGCACAGGCGTCGAAGGGCATTCTTGGAATTGTAACTCTCCCGCAGGACACATCAAAAAACCCCGAAACAACAAGTCTTCCCATAAGACAACCGATAAGGGGTTGTACCAATTGGAGTCTTGTATGCCGTCCTAAGAGCCCATAGCGTATCATCAAGTTTGAGCGACCAATCCTTCCTCAATTTGTTCACCATCCTTTCAAGAAGATTCTTGATTTCTCGATTCGACACCTCCACTTGCCCTTGAGTTTGAGGATGGTAGGGAAGACCAACTTTGTAATGAAATCATATCTTTAAACAAGAGCTTCAAATTGCTTTTTGGCAAAATAGGAGCCTCCATCACTAATTAACACTCTTAGAACCCTTAATCGAGGAAAAATGATCTTATTTAGAAGCTTTAGCATAACCTTATGATCATTGGTAGGAGAAGGTATGAATTTAATCCACTTAGTCACGTAATTAACCGCTACCAAGATGTATAAATTCCCCTAAGAGGAAAGAAAAAGCCCCATAAAGTCGACACCCACATATCAAAAGGCTCAACTTCCAAAATGTTTTGTTGAGGAATTTCATCTCCCTTGGTTATGCCACCACTTCTTTGACACTTATCACATCTTAACACAAACTTGCGAGAATCCTTATGCATCGTTGGCCACCACAAGAGAGATTGGGAAATATTTGCCACCATCTTGTCAACTCCGCCATGACCTTCACACGGAAACAAGTGGCAATTCTCAAGAACTTCATTAATTTCATGGTCCAACACACATTTACGAAAAAAGCCATCTCCGCATTATTTGAAAAGGTATGGGTCCTTCCAAAAGTACCACTTCGCTTCCTTGAAAAACCGTTTCTTTTGTTAAGAAGAGAGTTTCGGGGGAATGACCCCACAAGCAAGAAAATTTGCTATATCGGCATACCATGGGCTAGATGCCAAAGCTATAGCCACAAGAGTTTCAAATCCCATTTCCTCATTGATTGGCACATCCTCCTTGTTCTCAAAAGTAAGCCTAGACAAATGATCTGCCACATAGTTCTCCGCTCCCTTTTTGTCTCTCATTTCCATGTGAAAATCTTCGAGGGAAAGAAGCTAACAGATAAGACGTGGCATTGCTTCCTTCTTATTCATGTGACATCGAACCGCTATATGATCTGTGTACACAATCACCTTAGAGAACTTAAGGTACTGTAGACACCTTTTTGTGTCTTCCCAAAACCAAACCCAGTGATGAATACCTTTCGCGTTGAATCATAATCGAATAAAGTGAAAGTGTGAAAAGTCTAATGTTGTGGTTAGTTTTTATTAAAAATCTCTCTTTCTATTTTTCGAAAACCTATTCTATTTTATGAAAATAGGCAATCCAGTTTAGTTTGGTCATTAACAAGGGTCCTATAATGGTTTATTTGGATTGGGCTCAAAAAGTTCTTTCCAATGATATATTATAAGCCCAATTCCGATGAATAATGAGGAAGTTATAGTCAAAATACTAATCTGAGCCCGGTTTGGTTTTTATATGCGGCCCAATGATCTAGAGGGGGGCCTATTATAAATAATCATTCCTAATGCAAATAGGATTGATCATAGTCTTGCAGAATCTTCTAGAATGTTCTTTTAAATCCTAATGAGATTATGATTGATAATTATGTTTTATGAGTTTTACTTGGAATAAAATAAGTGTTTTAAATGAAATTAAGATTTTACCCTTCGTACGGACTTTACGACATGATTTTATCAAAAAGTAGATTCCGCGTTGAAAACGCGTGGAAAACCTTCTGCATCGCCAAAAGACAGGTTTGTCGTCTGGCGACAAGCCCTGTCGTTGGCGACAGAGGCGTGTTTTATTCCTTTTCAAACTCTGATACGTTTTTATCGATTCCGGACTATTTTCTTAAAAATAGGGTCCCTGGAACTCCGTTTTTTAATAACCAGAATTCTCTAATTCTCTTCTCTCTTTATATTCTCTCTCCCTCTTTCTAGCCTA